GAAACCAGTTTTCTAATTCTATTATTATTCTACATAATTATACAGTGACTCAGGAATCCTCGTGAACATTTGCAGAAACATTTTGTGACTATATTACCCGTTGGCGTGTCATTTTGAAATTCCATTTGCACTGCGATAAGGCACGTCTTCGCTGTCGGTAAAAGTTTAGAACGAATTTCAAACGTCTCATTGCTGGATCCTTCCAAAATTTGAAGACGAAAAAATTCATAGAAGGCAGATAATATTTATCACAAGAGTAATGGAAAAGAAAAAAATTCCTACTCAGAGTCCATTCCATTCCATTCCATTGTTATCGCAAAAAATATGAAATTGCACGAAGATTTGCAATCTACTTTATTATGGTGTTAACGAGATTTCAAAACGTTATGTATAGCGATTATGACATGTTTGTAAAAGTTTTCTACTTATCTTCTAAGTGTTGGAATATTTTCCCTCGCCATTATACATGTATGTCCATTTTCCCATAACTCGATCCGAAACAGTGTCGTCACATTAGCTTCTTTCTCTAGTGGATGTTGAATATTGCATTTCCAACCGGTAATTGAATGACATTCGTATAGGAAAAGGGGAAACCGTGAATATGTATATATGTATATAGTCACATCTAACGAGATCAATTCGCGTACTAAGAAAAATTCCACGAGGCTGAGAACGTTTAGTTATGAAATCATCGTGTATAATGAACGTGAATGAGCGAATTCCTCCGATTTTCATCGTAGAAATATAAATGATCCCAGATATGCTTGAATTTTCAAAATTATTAAAGAGCAATATCCATACATACATATATATATATAATGTCCATTTATTTTACATATATTTTCATGCTTAGCTATACATTTTCATCATATCATATTATATATATAGACTACACTACGTGTGCACGTAGTTTATTTCAAATTATTTTCAATCACTTTCACCCTTTTTCTGAAGGGGAATTCTATTTTATTTGCCAAGTAATTACCTTCGTTTGAGTTGTGTCAAAATTGGAAAATTTATTGTTTCCAATTTCTATCTACGAATCCCGATACACGAACGTTTCGCGTGATATTTAGAAAAAAAAAAAAGAAAAACAGTCATTTCGCACGAACAGCCATTCCGTCGTGAATTAGGTCAGTGCCTAACGACATTTTTCTTTGTCAAATGTATAAGTCGTTTGTACGTGACAGTATGGAACCTTGTTAATTTATGGTTTTATTTTCTGATGGTTACGACATCGACTGTGTGTGTGTTCTCTAATGAGCACATTACTTCTTGATATTTTCCATGTACATATTTGCCAATATGTTACATGTATTACAGTTTTAGCTACAGTGATGCAGTTACATCAATTTATCCTAATTGCTTGTGAGTAAAACATTTGTAATATGATTATTTTACATCGTATTAAACGAAGCTGTATTGATTCAATTATAATATAATATCCTGTTACTTCGTACTAATGAAGTAGTATTAATGAAGCATCGCATTAAATAAATCGGTTTACATTTTCCGTGTGTTCTTCGTATACGCCGTGTGTGTGTGTGTGTTTTTTTACGCCTGTTCTTCGTTATTTTTTTAAATTTCGAACAGGGAAAAAGATCATTTTCGATCATCTACATTTTGTCCTAAATCGCGACATTTAGACAGAAATCAATATCTTTTTATTTCTTCGGGATTTTTCACGAAGTATATATCCTCGTGGGATTAGCTTTAAAAAAAATTGAATAATTGGCAAAATTATTGGAACTGAGAAATGGTAATTTAACAAAGGCTTCATCTTTTTTGATCTCTTGTACCATCGAACCTTGTTGGCAACAAATTTATTTAGTATTAAAGAAATTTATCGTGTTAAACAAAATCTATCTTCATTTCAAAAGTTCCATTTTATGTCCTACTCTCTATAAATTGTCTCGTGTTCTCAAAGTACCATTTTACAAATGTTATCTTTACAAGTGTTGTAATGTTCAGAACAGATTCGCCGAGCTTTTCAATAGGAATTATTCAAGATCTTGAACGAGTCGTCGTTTCTTTCAGTTGTCTGATTCTACTTATTGCTGTGATAATTAGCGATGATGAAACGAGAGAATAGAACTTTTTAAATACGATGAATACGAGCAATTTTCAGTCGTATTATATTGCAGTTATATTGCAATAATTTGGTGATAAAATATATATAAAAAATGATGCTGAAGAACATTATAATGTGAAGAAATCACTACTAGTTACATTTCAATAATTTCCTTTAAAATCATAAAAAAAAATCTTTTCTGCTTGATGAAACGAGAGCAGTGAAATTCAGGGTCAACGATATTAATTAATTTAAAACCTCACTATCGCTCAACGAAAGCTAGTTGAATAGTGAAATAGTTGATTATTCAATGAAATAAAATAATTATTATAATGTATTAAACGGACGTGCAAGGACGTATTAGATCTACGTTGACTTTTATTTATAATTCATTCATGCACTACTGATTACTTTTTAAAGAAGGAAGGAAATGGTCGTGTTAAAGGGAAAAGGATTCATGCAGTATTCATGTAACGTTAATAGCTGGAATTTCACTGGAATTTTTTCCAATTCACGTGACAAATCCATTTTCCATTGCGAACAATTCTCGTCGCCCTGTTGACACGGATGCTGTAGTCCTTTCCCTAGTTCCGCGATTATTTTTTCCACGTTTCATCGTGTTTCTACACTTTCTCTCATTTCTACTGTGTTCTCTTTTATCTTCTATATTTATTTCCACGAGGGTTCTTTTTCTCGCTTTTCATCCTTTTGCTTTCTCTCCTTTTTTTTTTTCTTTTTTAATTGTTATCCGTCGTGATTTCGCACGTTCTCGGAAAGGCTGTTGCTTGGTTCTTTGAAGAAGAGCGAAACGATAAAAATGGAAAGTGTTTTATACTCTGTTCGCGATATTAAAACGTATTACACTCTCTCTCTCTCTCTCTCTCTTTTTCCGTGTTTTATTGATTCGTGCGTGCTACATTCAAGTCGTGAAATTTTCACCTTGATTTTTCAAATTCCCATTTTTTTTTATATTATTTATTAAATTGTTTCGTATTAATACGAATATGTATTATTTATATAAATATAAATGATAATTCAATAAGAATATAACATGAAAATTATAGTATATATAATTATAAATTTTCATCTTGACTTTGCATTACATTTTGATATATTACTTTGATATTATATATTATATATTTTATAATAGTATCATATATTGTACGACATATGAAACAAGAAATTGAACAATCAGGATAAAAATTTATAATAAGTATATAACAAATTTTATTTATATTTTATAATATAATTTTTATAATATTATTATATATTATCTTTGTATTATCATCAAGATATTATTTTATTAATTATTCAGAGAGATGTTAGTAAAATGATAACATTATTATTTTAAAATGTAGCGGAAATTGACAAGAGGGATTGTGCTTCGTACTCTTTTACGAGACCATAATTGAACGTAACATTTGAATTGAGATAATTCTACGTTCACTCGCGTCATAAAAAATTGTGAAAAATTTTTAATTTTCCGAAGCAGAGGAATTACATGAAATTCTCTGCTATTTCTATTTCATCTATCTTCGCTTTCCTTTTTTCGTTTATTACGAAATTCTCATACTTACAAAACAATTAATAATCGCAATGATGAAATTTTATGGCAGGTTTACAGCCATATTGCACATGCTAGGAAATAATGAGATTTTATACGACATGTTGCTAATGTTGTATCTTACTTTTTTGTTATTAAAAACAACTGCAGTATATTAATTATTTTATGTTGTTTCTGTCGTTAGAACAAAATGGTGTCGGAATAAAATTAGTTGGCTCAGAACACAACGATATATAATTAATATACGATTCTCTTTCTATTATATTTTTAATTTTAGAACATATCATATATAAAAGTCAAAGGAACATTTCTGCATTTTCACGCAATAAATTTTGCAAATTCAAAATTCAAATATGATTTAAAATATCATTTCGAATGAATAATATAATTTGCGAGACATTAGGCAATTCAAAATAAATGGAACAATCTATTTGCGGGAACATATTTTCACTTAATCAAGATACACGTGTAATAGTAAAGATGTGAAGGTAATTTTCGTTGCCGTATAATCGATCCTAAACAGTTTGTTTCTAACGTTGCATAATGTCTTCATTCTTCGTGAGAATGTTCGATATATTAAGTACTTGTGACATTTTATTTCCACTTGAAAATTGAGCAACAAGAACAAGAGGCGTTTGGCAATAGTAGAATTTGATTGAATGGCCCATTATTGCGTGATTAAGTTGTTAGGTTCTTTTCCTCGATCGTATATCATTTTCTTCGTACTGTGAAATATGAATAGGTTCGTTAGGTATATTTTTAGGGACTTTTTTTTTAAGTTACTACATTTAAACACTAGGAAAAATACACGGCGAATTACAAAATTATTATTCACCTACAGAACGCAAATTCAAAGATAATTATCTATTCCGTATTATTTTTCATATACTTTTGCAACTTTAAATTTCTTAATAGTCTACACATCGACATTCCACTGTAAATAAAATTAATAATCAGATCTCATTGCTAATGAAATTTCAAAATGTATGATGTATGTAATGCACGTATTCATAAAATTTTCACATTGTGTCACGCATCTTATCATTTCGATAATGGCATCGTATTTGCCATTGTATTCGGAAATTGCGCCAAAATTTTTGATTCGGCGCCGAATCTCGCTCCCATGACCTATCATAATGTAACCTCAAAACCCGGCTAACAGTTGAACTGTTGTCATCAGGTCACGAATATCATTTTATCAAGATACTGTTGTAGTATAATGTATGTGCAAAAGTGTCAAGTGCCAATTTTTTGTCATTTAGATTAAAGATGATACTAATTCCTGTTGATAAGGCTTGAGTGTATCGTGTAAATTGTAAGACATTGTGACATCGTATAAAAAAAAAAAAAAAAAAAAAGAAAAGAATGCTTCGTCGTAATCAAAAAGCATTTCTCTACTGTCAACTGTTTGGACTTTCAGAGGAAGACGAATCACAGATTTTCGTAAAGTTCTTCACATTTCACAAATGTTATGACCTAATACCAACCAGCGCCAAATTAGTCGTTTTCGATACGCATCTCCTCGTCAAGAAGGCTTTCTTCGCTCTTGTTTACAATGGTAAGTTGCAAAATTATAAAAATATTTTATTATTTTGTTGCACATTACATAATGACCTCATGTGCAGGTGTGAGAGCTGCGCCACTATGGGACAGTTCGAGGCAAGAGTTTGTTGGAATGTTAACTATAACAGACTTTATAAAGATCTTACAGATGTACTATACCAGCCCATCTGTAACAATGGATGAATTAGAAGAACATGAATTAGATACATGGAGAAGTAAATATCATTTTTTCAATGGATCACGCACATATGTTCAAAAATCTTAACCATTCTTAACTTTATCATTTCAGAAGTCTTGAAGGATCAAGTGCATCCATTAGTGAGCATTGGCCCAGATGCAAATTTGTACGAGGCCATTAAAACTCTAATTCAGAATAGAATTCATCGTTTGCCTGTGATAGATCCAGATACTGGAAATGTTCTTTATATCTTGACACACAAACGAATTCTGAGGTTCCTTTTTCTTTATGTAAGTATGAGTGAAACAATTAATAAAATTGAAAATACTTGATAGAACATATATGTGTTATTTGAATAATTTATCAACAGATACACGAGCTACCAAAACCATCTTTCACTGACAAAACATTGAGAGAATTAAGGATAGGTACATTTGAAAATATAGAAACTGCAACAGAGGAAACTAGCATAATTCTAGCATTAAAGAAATTCGTTGAGAGGAGAGTTTCTGCGTTACCAATTATTGATGCTGATGGAAAATTGGTTAACATTTATTCAAAGTTTGATGTTATTGTACGTTAATTTTATAAATCCTGAACAATATAGTTCTATTTATAATAATATTCCTTAATATTTTTGTATTTTCATAGAATCTAGCCGCAGAAAAAACATATAATAATTTAGATGTTTCATTAAGAGAAGCAAATGAGCACCGCAATGAATGGTTTGAAGGAGTTCAAAGTTGTAAATTAGATGAAACTTTGTTTACTATTATGGAGAGAATTGTTAGAGCAGAGGTATAATACTCACATTTTGCGTAATAAAGGGAAAAAATTTTAATTATAAAGCATTTACTACAGTACATTTTAAATAAAATAAAACTTATAATTATTTAATTTTATGATATAATGTATTATTTCGTATAACTATGAATAAATAAGTTATATACAAATTTTTCAGGTTCATAGATTAGTAGTGGTTGATGATGATGATAAAGTGATCGGTATAATTTCTCTATCCGACTTACTCTTCTACCTCGTTCTTAGGCCTTGTGGTAGGAACATATTTTAATTTATTAGTTCCAAGACAAAAATATGTAAGAAATATTAGTAACAAATGTATATCGATTTTTAGGTGAAGATGGCAGTAGCAATAAAGATAGTTCTATATCGTTAAGAGCACAGGATTCTACGTCAAAAGCTCCGAGTTCTGTGCAATCGGAGGCTTCCATTCCTGATGGTGAAACGGAAGCTGAACAAGATACAGCTGAAGTAAACCAGTCTGAAGAAGCACCCGGAACACCTAGTCCACCGCTGAGTCCTGCAGCATCAGATATTTCTGAACCTCAGTCAACTTTAGTAAATCAGTCTCAAGAATCTGCATGGCGGGAAGTGACTGTATCAGGAGGAGATTGAGGCAATATTATCTTAACATGCCGTTCGGCATGAAATTGTGAATTAATCTGCGACTATAAAGTCAACAAAATTTGAAGATAATGACACTAAGCAGTGTACGACTAAGCTTGTTTTTCGTTTGTTTTTAATATTTGTACGTACAATGGTTAAGAACTTGCGAAAAACATGCACATTGTTCTTTACTCGTTTAATCGATTTACGTCACAAAACTAATTGTTATCCAAAATAATGTATATAATCATGCTGAACGCGTGAAAATAATGAACGAATCGTAATAATGAATGAAATAATAAAATAGATGCGATAAAAGATAATGCGATGCTCCATACTGTATAAAAGTTAATTAAGCTTAATTTTTTATGGTACAAATGCTACTCAGTATAGACGTTCGAGCTTCTTGCCAGGAACGGTTGCTACGCCATTATCTACTCAGGGTATGATATTCTGTACACCCTTTCTTCAATCGTACACTGTTTCAATATTTTTGAGGAAACAAATAGTAGTTTTCTTGCATCCTTTAGATTTATAATGTTGCTATGCTCCTTATACTGGAATCTTTTATTTCAGATCAAAGATTATGAAATAATTTACTTTAATTTATATCAGATAGTGTAGAAAACATGAAACAATGTAGTCGTATATCAGAGTGCTCCATAATTAATAAATATGGACCTCGTTTTTACAGAGGCCTTCCACGCTTTTTCCTGACAGAAACGAAATACTACAGTGTTAAGCAAATGTCTAAACATATATTCCGTATGCTTATCTATAAAAAAAAAAAGTAGCTTCTTATTCGTGAATTATGTCACGTTAGATGTTTGAATACTAGAAACCAATATGCATAATAAACGATTTTGTTTTAAATGATTGCACAGCATGTGATATTTTACAAAAAAAAAAAAGAGAAAAAAAACATGGTGCTTTTGATTTTTCATAAATAGTTGACTTTGATATAGCAATCAAATGGAAGTAGTGTGCATACAATGAATAACAGACATAAAATACGTATATAATAGATAAAATTTTTGAAATTAATTGTGTTGTCATGTAACTTCTATATAAGCTTCACGAAATATTTCAGTACAGGAAAGCAATACTTATATAAATTCAAATTACAATCTATTGTTGAATTTATATGTTATATTATTTCATGTACATTTTTTTAAAAAATGACATTTACGAGATAAATATATATTAAGTATTGAAAGGCCTACACAAGTAGTGAAAAATGAAAACAATTCCACAACTAATATGCGCTGCCATAGATATTTTAATTAATGCTTTACACATATAAAAATATTTGCAGCATATTGTTCAAGTTACTTATGAAACAATTTAATTGCAAACATTAATCATTTTAGATTTGTATGTACATATAATTTTATTTAATAGCTCTTCTTTTAAATACTTCTACATTTGTATTTGCTTTACAAAAATTTTTATAAATTAACTAAAATATGTTCACAGAAAATATGTTTCGGGAAAGAAATAGAAATATAAAGAACATATAAGTTTTACCTGATTTTTAATTAAATTCTATACGTTGTTTGACAAAGGCATTATAAAAGAAATACAGTGGATGAAAGGTTTTGTAATTGTATTTTATATCGTTACTAATTTCCGTATGTAATCAATGATTAATTAAATGAAATTATTTCAAAAACTGCGAAAATTGGTTCTCGTAAATACTTATAAAATTAATTAATACTATCATACAAAGATTAAACAAGCACCAATGTTAAACTGTATTAGAGAATCATATAAAGTAGGAACTCCACTCAATGTTATATTGTTTAGATAACAAATTATAAAATGAGTGGCAGAAAGCATTCCTGTACAAACAATTTATTGAAAAGAAAAAAAAAATAACACTGTTTCATCTTGAAACAGATTTCATTCTACGCTTACTGCACGAAAAAAAGGATGGAATTATAAATTATGCAGACACCTGCATGTGTTGCATCTATGTGGAAATTTGTATATAAATGGTCTCTGTGCCAGGGAATGTATTTTTTTTTTCTTTTTTTTGGCACAAAGCTCCATTTTATAGAAATATGGATGAAAGCCACCTATTTGAATTTTGAAGGGGACAGTGCCTGTAATTTAGTGAATTTATTCCTAGGTACATTTACAAGGATAAGAGTAAATATTCCATTTCAGATGAGTGGCGCAGTCAGGATAAAGCAAATTTACGTTAGTATTAATTAACAAGAGGCGTAGTGAGGGGACAATGATTTTTGTACAGCTGAAGGGATTGTAGCCGAATAAGATTTAGTGTGCTGTAGCTGCGAATATTATTTCCTTTTAGTACAAAATATGTTTCAACTTTACAAGTTGTTACGTTCACTTTTTTTAGTTTTTAGACGTAAAAGAAAAATCTACAGTAGCCTACATCTTGCAGCGCATCCGATTTCAATATCATTATTGCAACTGAAAGCACAAGTTAATGTAACGTTAACAGAAACATTATTAGCGTTGAGAAACCATTTGAAGTCGGTGTACGCTGCATTCGTGAACCAAAACAATATATAGATGAGATATTAAGAATAAATTGTACAATAAATAAAGAATTAATCAAATAATTAAACAGTACACTTAGTCGCATCTCAGTACTGTATATCCAGGGCAAAAGCTATTAGCGTATTATTCATGTCCCTTGTACATGTAAGATACAAATGAAAAAAAAAAAAAAGAATTGCTGAGTGACAAAATACATCATAACTGAAACATTTTATTTTATTGTTTGTGGTGATTTTTGTGTGCCTTGTTATCCTAATTTTCTCGAAAGTATGATTATTAAATTATGTCTTCTTATATTAATATTTTTAATGTTATATTTTTAATACAAACAGCATTTTTTCAAATTTTATAAGTAGATCTATAAAAATATAGACACTTTCGTATTATTCGTCAATAGTAAAAATGTCAGATGAATTCATTATCATTGTCTGCTTATAATTCTATTAATGAATCTGATTTTTTTATCTTCTTGAGTTGCTTTTTTGGTAAATCATTTACACTTGATATACGTTTATGAAAAATCTGCATATTAAAAAAACAGAAGAAAATCATTTATTTCAACTATAAAAGAAAAAAAAATACTATCAAATTACTTACAATTTCAGTATTTAATCTCGAATATTTTGCTTTTTTTTGCTTTTTTTCTATTGATTTATCTTCTTTGTTAGTAATTACTGGCATCTTATTAAATAACATGTCATATTCTGGATCCGAGTCTGAATTATTTTCTATGTGTTCTTCCTTTTTTTCTACAAAATCTTCAGTAATTTTCTGTTTATGTTTTTGTGTTTTTTCTTCTTCATTTGCTGGCAATGAAAATTCTGTACGTAACAACATGCATGATATTTTCGACGTTAAATACATCTGCAAAATAAATAACAATTTAATTGAAGTAAATACTATCTTTTAATATAACATTCTCTTCATTAAATTACTTTTACCTTTTTTAATAATTCTTTCGTATCGATATGATGTATTCGCAAAAATCGGTCTAAACTGACACTAACAACATAAGGTTCGTTTTTACTACAAGCTAATCCCGTTACACCTCCAACAAATCCTTTATATGTATTTAGTATTTTAGCTGGTTTTCGTAAATCTACAAGATTCATTCTGCCTTTGCCAGAACCAACTATAATCTGCCTGTGATTTGATTGATTTTTTAACCTTGTGTTAAAAGGATATATTATATTTTTTTTATACATGTCATACATACTTTTCTCGTGGTGCCATAGTTAAACACGTTAATGCTTCCTCTTTTATTTCTATGTTTATGACAGGTCTTCTTTGTGATTTTGGATCATACAAACGCACCTTGAAAGTTTTGTTTCTTATATAATAGGACAGTTATATATGTAGAATTATATATCAATTAGGATCTTACATATCCATATTTGCTAGTTGTAACAATTTCTTCTGTATCAGGAAGAAAATCTACATCAGAAATCCAAATTGGAACTCGGACTTGCAACCAATCATGAGGCACATTTTTCTCTGTAAATATCTGTACTCGTTTTTCTATATCAAATAACTTTAATGCATGTTCTTGACCTCCAGTAGCTATTATCTCCTTTTTTATTCTTGAATGGCGCATCTTGTCTAAATTTTCACCAGCTTTTATTATAAATCCGTCTTCTTCTTTAAACCTCCATAATTTTATTTCGCCTGATCGAACAGCAGTCAAAATTGCTCTGTAAATAAGTGAAAATTATAATTTACAATATTATTTACACTTATATTTCTAAATATTACTCACTCATCATATCGAGATATGCCAGTAATTTTGCCTGTTCCAATATTGCAAAAGAAAGAACACGTAAACGTCGAATATTCAGTATCATAAACTTTCACACTGTAAAATGAAGTAAGTACAGGATATTTTTGTTATGAATGACAAATTAAACTTCAGTGTAATTGATAAATTACTTATTATATATAACCTCCTAATATCTTTCACACCACAACCAATTAGAACTTCTCTCTCCTCGTCATCACCCCAAGACATTGTTGTAACTTCATCGTTATCCGTAATGGAAACTAAGTTTTGTATATTTTGTGACATACATTCTTTCTTATCTATTCTTACACCTATTAACAAAATGCATGATTTTATAGACTAGGGTTTTAACATCAAATAAACTTTTATTTTATTTTTGTTAAACTATTCTTTTAACCTATAAATACGATTTTTCTCAAACTAAAACAGATATGATGTTGACTTAACAGATCTATAATTACCTTTGAAAATTCCACTTTTGCCACCAACATATATGTTATAATTATCTTTCGTACCCATTTCGAAAAAAATAATTCATAAAGCATAAAAATCAGTAAGACATCAACGCATCGTGTAACGCAATACAACTGTAATAGAAGCTATGGTAATGTAAAGATAGTAGAAATAATGTTAACAATTTGGAAAAAAAATTAGGATTGGACAAGAAGTTTATTAAATGAACATGATAATTGGCGAACATTAAACAAAAAATCATCAGTACATAATAAAAAGTTTTTCATCGAAAATCAGAATTAATATTATTATTAATAAAACCAGAATGAGAAATGAATATTAAAGATACATAAGTTGTAACATATTATTACAATTGAGCTAATATATATATATATATAAAGGAATTTAAAATTTTAGAATGCAAAAAATACTTTGTTATTATTTCAGCAAGTCCTTCAATCTATTCAGCGAAATTCGTAAATTTTCATTCATGCATTTCGTAGATCAAATGGAATATAAGAAAAGAGTTGAGAATCTACATTGAAGAATTCAATCATAAAGGTTCAAAAATAAATTCGTTCATTTAGCTTTTTTAAAATAAAAATTTGATCAATTTATGGATATGTACATCTATTCCAGCGACATCTATTTTCGCTCAACCATTTCGTCGATGGGTACATTTCCGGTAAATTTATGGCGCCAACTGTATGAAACTCAAAGACAAGAAATCGTGAAAAATGATCAGTCTTTTAACAAATCACCAAGGAGTTATTTAACTCAGAAAAATATAACAAATTACCAAGGATACATATAATAGTCGTTAAAGAGTTAATAGACAGTCTACAGTCTACAATCGTCGTCAAGTAATATCCTGTATTGTGTAAACGTTAAAAATAAAGTACAAAATTTCTTTTTAGCTACAGACACTATGATACTACCGCAGTAATAACACGGAACTAAACGTTATTGTCTGCACTCTGTTTCTCTCCTTGTTTATTACACAACATATATCTATTCTTGTAAAACAGTACTTACATTGTGTGACATAAATCTATCCTTGTGGCATATATCATCCTCTTTGTTCAGTGAAGTGCTGTCATCTATGCGCGTATCGAAGAAACAGCATTAATAAATCTGTCAAGAATGTAGATACGATGATCGATAAATGATAAAGTCACCGTACTACAAAGGAAATTTTATACAGAATATAATGGATGAATGACGACTGTTTATTAATTTCTTAACTATTATATATATTCTTGGCAATTTGTTAGTAATTTGGTAACCAATAATTTATTGGTATCTCCGTGGTAACTTTTGATAAGACAATTGAATAACAATAGATGTCGCTCCGGGAATGTAGCGACATCTATTTAGCCTTACAAAAAGTTACCATGGAAATACAATAAATTATTGGTTATCATGTTACAAACAAATTGCCGAGAATGTATATAATAGTAAATAAGAAATTAATAAACAGTCGTCAGTCGTAATTCATCCATTAAATTCTGTATCATGTAAACGTTAAAATAAATTATAAAATTTTCCTTTATAGTACGGTAACTTTATTTATTATCGATCTACCTACAAGAATATGGCATGTGCTGCCATCTAACAAACGACTTTAAGAATTAAAATAACTCACCAGCAATACTTTAGTTTTATTAGTCTGCGACAGATGATACAACGCCATATTTCTTGTGGAGGTTTACACCTTCAAATCAAATACGAGGTGAGATATGAACTTCCTCGTTATATCATTGACTAATTCGTACAATTAGTCAATAGGTATACATTGTAAAGCCCACGGTCTTTCTTCTTTTCTCAATATATTCAATATTCATTTATAAAATAAATTAATTAAAAGATATAATTTTTGATCGTTTGCAATTGGAGCTTTAATTTTCCTCCTATATATATTTTACACTGTTTGAGCTGCGAAATGAGCACGTAAAAACTGCTGCTCATTCGTATGTTCGTGAATTAAAATATATCAAATTGACTTACGAAAATGACAATGTTCTAAATTAAAATTTTCATCAATTTATCACTAATACCAATCAATTCGAAGACTAGCGTGTAAATATTGGACAATGTTTAAATGTAGAACCAATATAATTTATTCACACATATCCGTAAATGTTACTATCATAATAAAATATCTCCTTTCTCTTTTCTTTCATCTGAAAATTATCTCCTCGTAGCTTGTCGCAGATACAATTTATTCTCACAGTACAAAGAGCATTATTAATTGAACAACGACAATGTTTATCACGGTAAAAACGATTTCGACCGCAGCATTGTTCAGTATAGTTTCGTTCAACCAGCTCAGATATAAATCGACTCGTGAGTATACCCCTGGTGAATTAGGACGTGCACAGCCTTTCCCCCACGATATTATGCCAATTTGCTTGTTGTTGCATAAAAGTGGACCGCCACTGTCACCCTGCAATTGATTGCCTTCAGAGAAAGTATATATTTCAAATTAAATTTGAATTGTGATAAATACAAACTTGACAGGCGTCTCGTCCACCTTCCTCTAGCATGCCAGCGCATAAATGCACCTTGTCGTCTACACCTGGGACTGGACAGCTTTCGGGTGGGATTAATGGTAAATTAACACTTCGAAGATAAGTACCGACTCCCTTCTAAATAAAATTAATTCTGCTCTGTTAAGATATCATGTTACTTCAATAGAACTAGAATTTTGTCAATTCTTGTCTCCGCAAGTAATCAAGGAACTGGAATTCTAAATTTAAAATCAGTCTCAAACGCATGCTTTTTTTCGATCAATTGCACGATCTGTGTTTCTTGATTCGATCATACATGCGTTGTACATGCCATATTTGTATTAACTTAAATTAAACCGAGTAGAAAGTGATTTCACGAGAAGAAACGAGTTGAAAAATTAATTTCCTAGCCTAACGATACTGATGCAATGCTAATTTTTCGGCTAACACGACTGTAAACGATGAAATTCATTGTACGAGCGTAGCAAAAGAAGTACTGCAAAACTAACCACGTGGGAAATTTTTGGCTATTCTGTGGGAAAATTCGGGGATGCTCAGAAATTTGTGAACTGTGAAATTCATTTTGTGGATGGAAACAGAAAACTTCGGACGTATCCAAAGGGAAATTTCGTGGGAAATTCACTTTGTGAGATGGAAAGATTCGCGGGTGACCGGAAATTATCTCTCTGTAGGAAATTTTTTGGCTTATGGTCGGGCTATATTACGTAGCTTTCGTATACATCTTCTGATTGAAGAATGAAGAATGAAATTGCTGGGAATGAAAGAATGGAAAGCAGGTCGTGGAATGTAGGGCATCGAATGAAAAATGGGAGTAGAAGATATGAGATGTGAAACATGGGGAGATGTAAGATGTGAAATATAAAATAGATAGGACATTTTCGAATTGGTCTCGAAACGAACACGAAGGGATAAATAGGAAAGGGAAGAAATTATAAAATGCGAGCTAACAACGAGAGCAGAAAAAAATAACA